TAAATAATTTTTACAGAAATACTTATATTTATTGCTTTTGTAATTCTTACCCTCTTACTGTCTCTCCTTTCAACTCAAAGAGTCCCCTTTAATATTTGTTGCAGGGCTGATTTAGTGGTCACAAACTCCTTTAGTTTTTGTTTGTCTAGGTAATTGTTTATCTTTCCTTCTATTCTGAGTGATATCATTTATGGATAGAGTATTCTTGGCTGCAGAATTTCCCATTCAACACTTTGAATATGTCATGCCACTCCCCTCTTGCTTACAAAGTTTCTGCTAAAAAATCTGCTAATAGAATTATGGGATTTCCTTTGTTCTACTTGGTAGAACTGTCTTCTTTTGTCTTGTTTTTTTTTTTTTTTAATTCTTCCTTTATAACCACATTTTCCCATTTAATTACAATATGTCTTGGTGTCGATCTGCTTTGGATGATTTTGTTGTGGGTTCTCTGTGCTTCATGGATCTGGGTATCTGTTCTTTTCCCCAGTTTCAGGATGTTTTCAGCTATTATTTCTTCAAATAAAGTTTCTGCCTCCTTTTCTCTATCTTCCTCTTGGACCCTATAACACAAATGTTATTATGGTTGATGGAGTCTCTGAGATCTGTAAGTCTATTCTCATTCTGCATAATACCTTTTTTCTCTCTTGTTCAGCCTGATTACTTTTTATTACTGTCTTTTCAGTCATTAACTCATTCATTTGCTTCTTTCAGCCTGCTGTTCATTCTAGTGAGTATGTTTCTCATTTTTTTATTGTACCCTTTATCACAACTATATTATTCCTTATCTTTGTGTTAAGGGTCTCACTATTACCTTCTACTCTTTTCTGTAGTCCAGTGAGTGTTTTTATGATCATTGCTTTAAATTCTGTATTAGTCATGTACTTATATCTGTTTTGGTAGATCTGTGGCTCTATTATCCTCTCTCTTTTCATTTTGTCTAAGTCTTTGTGCCTGTTTTTGTAAGTTACGTAAGTCAGTTACGTTTCCTGTTCTTGAGAGTAATGGCCTTATAAAGAAGAGGTCCTGTAGTGCTCTGCAGTATAGTGTCCTTTGTTCCCCAGAGCCTGGTATTTCCGGTAGTATCCCTAATGTATGTTGTGTTTGCTCTGCTATTTTATCTTGGCTGCTTTATCCTTTGGGCCAGTCATCTTTAGAGGCTCTCTTTTCCTGTTGTATGCAATGTTTGGTCCCTGGCCTGAATGTGGTGAGTTTTAAGCAGGTGTTCTGTGGTCTGCTTGTGAAATGAGACCTGTTGCCACAGTCTCTGTAATTGTGTCCTTGCAATACTCCCAGCACTTCTGGGGTAGGGGTCCCACCACCCTGGACTGAGGGAAGCATGACTTGGAAGGGAAGGTTGGTTCTACTAGAGTGTGAGAGTGAGGGGTGGGTATTGGTGTTAGCAAGTTAGTCAATTTCAGGCCTATGCCAATTTCTGCAGGTGACCCTGTGCTTATGATGAGGGAAGGCAAGAGAAGGGAAATGGTGCCTGCTAGGTCTTTTGTTCTTGTAGGAATTTCTCCGTGAACACTGACTCTCTGGTACATACTCTGAGATGAGCAAATAACCCCATTATGTGCCCCAAGTGCTCTTTATATCATTTTTTCTATACTGTAAGTTCACATACTGTTTGCCCTGCTTTCTCTCCAAGAGCAGCCCAGTGCTCTCTATGCTATTTTGGACCCAATCCCTCCAAAGACCTTTAAAACTCCAGGCATTAAGCCCAGCTGGTTGTCAGCTATTATGAAATTCATTCCCTCTTGCTTTCCAAACCAAATGGTGTTGGTATTCCTTTCCCCATGCACTCCCTTTGTGTTAGTCTGTCTCTCACCCTCCTCCACCACCATAGCTCTGTCCCCACTGCAGAAGCCACAATCCATTTCTCTATGAAACCATGTCTCTGTACTTCCTACCTTCTTCGATGTGGCCTCTTCTCTACCTTTAGTTGTGGAGTTTGTTCCTGCAGTTTTCAGGTCAATTTCTGGTGTATTTAGGATTATTTGACAGTCATTTAGCTGTGTTTGTAAGAGGAGGTAAGGCTAGGGTCCTCTTACTTTGCTACTATTTTCCATTTTTTAAAATATATTTTTAATATATTTTATATTTCATAATTACATGATTGAGGAAGTATTTATAAATTGTCTTGACCTCTATCTCTAATTTGACTGGGCTTAAACTTTTTCTTTTTAAGTAGATCTGAGTGAGTCACGATGTCCACCCTTTTTACATATAAAGACAGAGCCACAGAATTTAGCCTTTGAGTTTATTTGATATTTGGCCTTTCCTCTGTAACTAAATAAGACAAACCTTGCCACAGATTATATAATAGTGAATAAATTACCCATATCATTGATGCCATTAGACCCTGGCCAGATGGAAATGATGTTGGTGAGGACATTGTCTTAAAAGTCAAGAAACCTGGGTCTAAGTGGCAGCTTTATCATTAATTCACTGTGAAACATGAATCAGGTCCTTCTCTCTTAACTTATTAATCTTTAAAATGAGGACTTAGACTACATCATGACTCCTACTGCATTCAGCTCTGAAAGTATTATTTGAGCAATTTGGAGTGGAATTTAACAATGTTCTTATAGGAGCATAAGTTGGATTCTCATCGAGGTAAATTTCCTTGACCTAAATAAGAAAGATAAGTATAGACTAGGTCAGGAAACTTCACCACCAGGTAGTTTTTCAAAATATATAAAGATTGGCTCCTATGTGTTCTATCTGAGACAGCCAGCTGAAACCGCAAGACTGCTCTGTCTATACCCAAACTTTATTTGGTGGAAGAAGACAGGAGAAAAATGAGGATAATAAAATGTGATCCTGTACAAAGAAGCAAAATTTATGAGTTTTTAGAAATTTGAAAAGTACTGTCACTTCTGTAATTATTGAAATCCTTCCATTCTTAAGAGATACAGCCCAAACTCTCATTCTCCTGAAGACTTGCTTGACTTGCATCCTGAAATTCCATTTATTTTTTTTAAATTTTTTTTTCAACGTTTATTTATTTTGGGGACAGAGAGAGACAGAGCATGAACAGGGGAGGGGCAGAGAGAGAGGGAGACACAGAATCAGAAACAGGCTCCAGGCTCTGAGCCATCAGCCCAGAGCCCGACGCGGGGCTCGAACTCACGGACCGCGAGATCGTGACCTGGCTGAAGTCGGACGCTTAACCGACTGCGCCACCCAGGCGCCCCCTGAAATTCCATTTCTTATCCCAGCCCTCCTGGGATCCCTGACTTCCTCTGTAAAATATTACAGAAGTAGAAATAACATTTTTAGGCCCTTATGACATGTATGCTGCCTTATAATTTAGGCAATTAGATAATGTCTTATCTGCTTAACTAGATTCTAAAAAGTTTCTGGGAAGCAGTATCCTTTCCTTTACCATCAGCTCTCTTGTACTCTTTTCCCCTCATTCTCTCCTTTTCAGCTGTATTTGATCTACTGGTCTGCATTTGGCAGTTATTCAGTAAGTGTTTGCTGAATGGAGCTAAGGTTGTGTGAATGGAGAGAGCATCACAATAAACTCTGGACACAACAAACGCAAGTAGGACAATTTTCTTTAAATAAACACAGAATTAATGCCACATTCTTCCAGACTGTGGGGTACAGAATAAAAGGATACAGAAGGGGCAATGAATTGTGATCTCTTGTCAATATAGCTGACCTAATGAAAATTTAGATTAATTTACCCCTTCCCCTATATTTTCTCCACTTACTCAGAACTACACTCAACATAGCTTAGTGCAAAATCATTAAAGATTGGCAACTCAGTTTTCATTCCCTGGAATCTATTCAGTTTTCTTTTATATCCTGCTCTCATTATCTATTTTTATCTTTCCAATCCTAATAAATTTATTCACACCAAGGTTTTCAACTAAGTATATTTCTAAGAGTGTCAAGATTTGAAAATCAACACTTCAGGAAGAAAGGAATGCTTACCCCCAAAGGATTTGTTTTTCAGGCATTAGTGAAAAAAAATATTTTGAGGTAAAGAGTCCTACAGATGCTTCCTAATGCTTCCTATAATATGCCATACAGATATGTCCTGGGATAAAACTGGATTTGCATTAATATACTTCTTTCTCCCATGGTACATGTGAAAATTTCCTTTGCTCTGATCTAAAATACTATGCAAGTCTTGGAGATTGTCTTCAGCTGCCCCTTGTCCATTTCACAGGTGTACTGCTGCAGGTAGAATATGTTAGGCATCTAATACAGTGTAGTCCTAGGCTCTGGGGCTCTGAAGGTGCTTGGTACACCATCTTCAACGGGTTGTGGCTACAGGTCTGGGCTACAGAAAACCAGCCTCTTTTCACCCCATTATTCCTAACCACTGAGAGGAAATGAAGGTTTACTTATACTTCCTGGCAGAGGACTCTGAGGGGAATGGGGAGTGGGTGGACAGGAAGTGTGAGGTGAGTTATGTATCTTTAAGTTTTTCTTAAGGAGTAGAGTATTTATTTTAATATAAGGGGTTTAAATGTGTGTATATCTAAGAATACTCTAGGCAGAGGTCATTCCCACTTTGAACTCTCCTATTGGGAGCTACCTAAGGGTCAATCTTAGGTAAGGAGTGTCCACTTTGGTACCTGAACACAACAATTGAGGGGCTTAGAGAAAGGATCACGATGAAGATTGTAGTGGTCCACTATGAAAGGGGCCAGAGGGCACGTAGTTTCTACAAAAGACTCCATAAACAAATAAACCACGCATGTCACAAACTGAAAGCTAAGTGCAACCACAGGATTGGAAGACAATGCACTGTCGCCGTATAAATAGAAACAAAGGTTTATTTGCTTAATGTGAAGCTTTGCAGCCTGTATTTACAGCCCATAAAATAGTTCTTCATAATTAATCAGAGATAAAGAGGGAGAGAGAGAGACAGAGAGAGAAAAGAGAGAGAGAGAGAAGAGAGAGAGAGAACAAGCACAGGCAAGCTTGCTAGCTCAAGCTACCGCCTGGAAAACGGAAATGTTCAGTGTGCACAGAAGCTTGCACATTTCACGCTGACATCTCACTACCATGTTTTCCAACATGGTAGTGGTTAGGTAATGCTGATAATTTTCTTTCTTTCTTTCTTTCTCTCTTTCTTTCTTTCTTTCTTTCTTTCTTTTTTTTACCTTTGCTATCTTCATTTTTGTTTTGGCTTTATTATATTTTGTTTTATTTTTACTCTTTCTTCCCTCTTTATCTCCCTCCTCCCTCCCTTTCTTTTCTTTCTTTTTCTTCTTTATCTTTCACTCTTTCTCTATCTCCTTTCCTTTTGTCTTTCTTTATCTCATTTTTAAGAAGTTGGTTTTTTTTTTTTTTTGTTTGTTTGTTTTTTGGTGATGGAAAAGGATGTTGGTTTTTCTCAGAACAAGGAGCTGGAATTGAGGTACAGATCAATAGCATCCTTGTTGAAGTGGCTGTCACTTGAATTCTTTGGAAATCATTGGAGAAAACAGAAAGAAACTGAAACGGTAGGCTCCAGTTTTTAATGAATTAGATCTTATCTGTATCTTTTACCATTAATATCTAGAACTGTTCTCTTCACACCAAGTTCTGGGTAATCTGTCAGATCTAAGGGTGGTATGGATATCATGAACCTGGACCATCCTTGTATGTCATTTCCTTAGTATTTGCACAAACAAAAATAATTATACACTTGATTGCTTAATATGGGAAGGGGGAGGTAACTTTTAAAGGGGATAAATTTAAGTTTGACATGGAGAGGTTTTTTTCTAATGTGTTTCACTCAATTGATATTGAATAAAATAGCCCTGTGAACATTTGTAATTTAAGCAACTCTATATTAAGTAGAGTTACTTGCAGAACATGCAGGATGTTTTTTTATCTACTCTTAGTTATAACTTTTTGGAGGTGATAGTTTCTCTGATAAATGATTTAAATGGTTAGATTTCTGTTATTTTCAAAATGAGCTATGATTAAAAAATAAGAACTATAATGTCTCAGGACATTTACCAACATGAATATATATTCTTATCAGCTTGTAAAAGTTATACATTTTTACTGTAAAAGTGAATTGTAATTAATGTTAAGTGTAAAGATTCTGCTTTCAAAGAAAGCACTCCAGAACAACAACAACAACAACAACAACAATAACAAACAACAATAACAAAAACATGTTTATAATGAGAGAGGAGAAATAAGAAGACAAGAGACTTATTTACTCTGTTTCTCATACATAAGCTTTATCTATCAGAATAAATCAGTACATTACAATCAATAATGGGTTAAATGATTTTATATTAAATTTACATTTTTAGATACTCATCATCAACATATTTTGACAAAATGTAAGTAAAATTGTTTTCTGGTTTGCGTGTTGCTTTTCTTTTATGCTCAAGTAGAAAATATTGAGGAAGGCACCTTCTAACTTTAAACCCAATGATAAGGCTATCAGTAGCATGTAACGTCTAGAAGCTGCATTTAGAGATTTTAAAAAAGGAAAGGATGTATGTCCATGGTGCAACATGACCCAAGATAAAAATCTCAAATGATTTTCTGCTCCTTCCTTTCTCTACTGTCAACAGTGGTGTCCTTGGACTTCGTTTTGTTTTTTAATTTCTTTTTCATGGACTTTATTTTATACTGCTCTAATCTTTCCAGGGAAGTAAAAAAGTTATTATTTTATTCAACTAGAGCTAAATTTGTTAGAGAGCTTTGGGTCATTCAGCAAGGAGTATTTCTTTCAGGCAGCTGCTGTAAATATCAGGTATTGTGGCAAAGGCATTAATCTTATAGATGGGATTCAAGTTTTTCATCCCAAGGAAAGATTCCACCAGCCACATTAGTAAATATCTGGATCACATGAAAGTCATCCTCCAGGAACTTTGTATCAGAGGGGGTATTTTTTTATTATAGAAAATATTCTTTGTACTTGTAAACACATGTACTGCTCTCTCTTACTGTATGTTTTCAATAGTTACATTTCTGTGAGACAAGAATCATTTAATATACCAATTCTGTGTGGGCTGGTACAGTATGGTACAGAATATTGTAAAGGTGAATAAATACAAAGTGGGACATTGATTCCTCCAAAAATCTCACTGAATTTTCACCTAGAGACTCTTAGGAATGAATGAACTCAATTTTCCCCCTGTGTACTAGGTAAGTGAAATGAAAAGTAGAAAGAAGCATGCTTTATACTTTCCTTTTATAGACACTATTAGCACCAATCAGATGCTCAGAACCGAAAAGGAAATTAAACTCTTTCTTCTGACCCTTGCCTAATCCTGAAAGAAAGAACTACAGATAGTGCTGTTTCCCTTGCCCATTAAAGTTACATCCCAAAAGCCTTTGTCTTGTGACATAGGTCTAGAGAATCAGTCTGCAGACCACGAGTTAAAGGAAATTATTAGAAACGGATTCAAAACCTGTCACTTACAGGAGCAATGGAAAAACACCTAAGACTCTTTTATGCTTTGAAAAGTGACATCGATTGACAGTTTGCATTTTAAAGATTCAGAGAATTGAAGTGACCGAACCAAGTACCTCTGTGAGTCTATGACAGAGAAAAGACTGCAACTTAGGTCTCTGATACCTCATCAGTGCTCATTTTACTTTTTTATTACTGCTGAATAAGGCTTAAGGATTAAGAGCCATATGTATTAATCATTGGGAAATGTTAAAGATGTCCTTTTGAAATCACTCAAGAATGAAGGGGCACACTTCAGGCTTCTCCCAAGGGCCCTGATAATTTAGCAAATTTTGCTTTGCTGGGCTTTAATATGGTTTTCTTGCAAGAATAGGAGAAAATTATTCTACTGTTCCCACAGAAAAAAACCCAAAATTAAAATGAATTAAACAAAATGATATAATAAACATTAATACAGACATGTCCATGTACTGGATGCTTTTGTGCATTATTATGTGCAAGTGCAAAAGTTTGGGCAAGCTATAAAACATCAGAAAGTACTCAGGAAGTTCTGAGGTCTAGGATATTCCAAATTTGAGAAAGGAGTAAAGATTACAGGGTAAAAATAAAGGTAAAACAGCCTTAGAATAAAGTGTGAGGAAGTTAATATTATAATAACTGGTAGTATGTGAATACAGAAAAGGGTATAGTCATTATTGCCTTGATTATTACTGCTTATCATATAACAGCATAATATCTGGGACTTGAAAATTAAAGTGGGTTTTCTTGGTATAGTCATTGAAAGATAATCCATAGAGGAGAGTGTGCTTCAGAGGAATAACTTTTACTTGTAGCAATGACTGCCTTAGTATCAGCCAGAAATCAAGATGCAGACAGAGTTCCTGAGAAATCATCAGAAGTACAGGAATTTAACCAAAATCAAGTCTGGGGATGGGTACGGGCCAAGAACTTCACTAAATCTAACTAGCTAGTGAGGAAACAGAAGTTTAAACCATTGGCCATGATCGGCAGGTGGATCATGAAAAGCATGATTTGAGCCCAGAACATGAGCCAATGCTGTCCATTTAGGCTCAAATGTATCTTGGACAGCATAATTAATATCTCACTAGGTACCTAAAATATATGCAATTTAAGTCATGAACTCAAAAAGCCCTTCAATTCCTTCCTTACTTCTTGAAAATATATTCGTTTCTTCCAAAAGCTTTTGCTCAATGCCACACTATTTATGAAAGGGAATGGCAAGGCTTCTTCCACATTCTCAGAAGCAGAAGAGAGCATGTAATTTAGTTATAATTATAGTTACTCAGTTAAAACTCTTTTCAGCTTTACTTGGTAGATCATATTCAGATATTTCTCATAAGCTAATAACATATTACCAGATATTTCTTTTTTAAATGTTTTTTTTTTTAATTCCAGTTACCTAAGATATAGTATAGTATTAGTTGCAGGTATAAAGTTTAGTGATCCAACACCTCCATACAACACTCCATGCTCATCACAAGTGCACTCCTTTATTACCATCAGCTATTTAACTCATTCCTCCACCCACTTCCCCTTGTGTAACCATCACTTTGTTCTCTATAGTCAAGAGTCTAATCCTTAGTTTGTCTCCCTCTATTTTTCCCTATGCTCCTTTGTTTTGTTTCTTAAATTCCACTTATGAATGAAAACATACAGTATCTGTCTTTTGCTGATTGACTTATTTCACTTAGCATAATCCCAAATTCCTTTCATTTCATTGTGAATGACAAGATTTCATTCTTTTTGATGGCTGAGTAATATTCCATTATATGTATGAAAATATAATGGTGTGATATCTATGCACCACATCTTCTTTATCCATTCATCAGTCAATGGACACTTGACTGAATATACGTATATGTATATGTATATGTATATGTATATGTATGTAGATTGATTTGGGTAGTATAGACATTTTAACAATGTTTGTTATTCCAATCTATGAGCATGGAATGTCTTTCCATGTTTTTGTGTTGTCTGCAATTTCTTTCATAGTTTTTTTTCATAGTTTTCTTTTTATAGTTTTTAGAGTACACGTTTCCCCCCTCTTTTACCAGATATTTCTTATAGGTTAATGACTTATTTTTATATGCTAAAATAATTCTTACACTTTATTTATAGGATAACATTAATGATACTTATTTACTGTTTGGAATATCTACTCATTTTTAGGTGATACAAGGTGACCTGTGAGTTGGTTCTTTATTTTTTCAAGTTTATTTATTAATTTTGAGAGAGAGTGAGCATATATGCAAGTGAGTGGGGGAAGAAAAGAGAGATAGAGGGAGAGAGAGAGAATCCCAAGCATGCTCCACACTTCCAGTGTAGAGCATGACGCAGGTCTCAAACTTACAAACTGTGAGATCATGACCTGAGCCAAAATCAAGAGTCTGATGTTTAACTGACTGAGACACCCAGGCACCCCAAGTTCTTTAAAACTGAAAATCTGTTACACTGAGTGGTTCCTCTATGTTGAGTGTGTCAGACCAAATGGTGTGCCAGAAAATAAATGACATCTAAAAGATCGATTGATTTATTATTTATCAAATGTGTTTTTTCAACAGCCATTTAATTCCAAACCTCCAGAAGAAAATGTTTTCTTGACATTTGTGATTGATGTCACATCAATATGTATAAATAGAGACACCCTGATTACAAAGGTGAATAAAGTAGCAAGACAGTGACTACAAACTATAGAAAAAAATTTTGTTTTAAATTAAGCTTCACAATTTATGACTTCAAGTTATATTACAAACCTTAATGATCATACAGTATTCTGCTGCCACAAAAATAGACACATCAATCAATGGAAAAGGATAGAAAACCCAGAAATGAACCCACAACTATATGGAAAAAATATCCAATGGGAAAAAGAGAGTTTCTTCAAAAATTGGTGTTGGGAAAAATGAACAGCAACGTGCAAAAAAAAAATAAATAAATAAATAAATAAATAAAAAGAAAAGAAAAGAAACTGGACCACTTTTTTACACCATACACAAAACTAAATTCAAAATGGATTAAATACCTGAATGTGTTGACTTGAAATCATGAAAGTTTTAG